TTATCCAAACCTTGAATTGACTGATCTTTCGCACACGATATTATACTCCAATCCTTAGACATCAAAATCTAGGTTTTAATTCTCTAAATCTTATATCTCAAGATCAATTTAATTAGAAACAATGATCGACGATTATGATTCGTCCAAATATAGGCAAAAAATGAATGCACCATCTTAGGGTTTACAGTTTATGATTTAGATAATTAGGACCTAGAATTCACTCATTAAGGGTAAGGGTATATTATCCGACCCAAAAATCCTACTAATTCGAGGTCTAGATAGCTTTTTCATACTCAAGGTATGTGGTGCCCTAGATCTCACCTGGGGTACCGTAAAAGCCGCCCAATATCAAGGTATACTATACTTTTGATTTTACTCAAGATACGATAGAAGATAGATATGACGAAGTATGCCCATAAATTAGAGGTTAGAGAATTAGGGACTGGAGTTCACCTATTAGATGTTAGGGTATAGTATCATGCCCCAAAAATCTCCGGTTAATTCGTGGTCTAAATAGTATAACTCAATGGTCGTATGGTAGTGTGAACACAAGAGTATAGCATACTCCTGGCGCACGCTAGCTTGAACTATATGTGTGTGTGTGGGGGGGGGGGGAGTTCAGGTTGGCGTACGCTAAACATTAGTGTTTTGGTTGATAAATTTTGACATAAGTTCTAAATGGGACGTGACGGTGACATCATTTATGATTAGAAAACTGAAGCATCACAAATGAGTGTGCTAAATATTGGAAATTTTCAATATAGACATACTACAAACTTTGTTATGAATCAAGAACACAAAATATTTGGAATCCAAAATGATTTAAACATATAAATAAATAAAAATTATAAAATAAATCTCTCCGGCCAACGGGCCGGGTAAAAAGCTAGTTACCAATATTCATTGGTCTAACATGCTCTGGCAGAAGTATGTGGTCCCAAAGCACATATTCTTAACTTGTTAGTGATTTTTGTTCCTAAAGATATCATATATTGATCCAAACAAATAGATAGTTACATCGTGGAAACCAGCCAGGCCCGGAAATCAAAGAAACGACTCAGAGTCGGGTACAAGGAGAGGGCTTTTCTAGCCACCGAATGAGCTACCCTATTGTTCTCCCGACCTATAAACCGCACACTAAACCCATCATGGGTGTGAAAATAATGACCTATCTCTTCAAGGACAACACCAAACCGGTTATCCCTTGTGTTAGCTTAGTTAATTTTATCAATGATTACTTTCGCATCGCCCTCGAACTGGACCTCCGACAAGCCACACTCCAAACACCAAACAATAGCCTCTCAAAACACAAGCAACTCCACCACCATCGGCTCGTCAATTTGAGGAAACTGAATCCCCTTAGCCAAAAGGAGAGTCCTCGACGGAACAAAAAGAACCATCCCACCAGTCGAATATGACCCACTCCTAGTGGCCCCATCCCACACGCAAACCAAACTTGAATCACCCACGTGAGTCACTGGTTGTACCAAAGGAAAAGACACCCTAGGATCCTGGTCAATCGGCAAGCCCACCCATTCCTCATATTGCTGGTTAAACTGATGCATTAACGCAGGGATCCCAAACTGTTTGCCTTCAAAGACAACCCAGTTACGAGACCGCCATATCCGCCAAAGGATGGCAACCACAGCCATGAACGATGTCGGTTAATGAATCAGCGCCAGCAGTCGTTTGAGAAAAAATGGAAAGGTCTGCCAAGGCAAACCCTCCCCCAGGTACTCTAGCCCCGAGTAGTCCCAGAGAGCCCGCACAACTGAGCAATAAAGAAACAGATGTTCCATCGTCTTAGGGCTATCCCAGCAAACTGGACACCGGGGAAGCACAGGGACCTTCTTTTCAATGAGCGCCTTAGTAGTCGGTAGTGCCCGATTAAGGATTTTCCAGACAAACACCCTCAACTTTGGAGGGATCTTCGCCTCCCACAAACGGATCCAACTGGGATTATCCATCCAACTAACCGAGAACCGACACCCACCCCTCCTCCTATCCAACGCTACAGCCAAATAGTAAGCCAATTTTATCGAGAAAACCCCATCTGCCGAGTTATGCTAGATAAGTTTATCTGCCACATCCTGCCGCGGAAGCAGAATAGCCTTTATGGCACGACAGGTAGATGGGTCAAAACATTGACTAAGCTTATCATCACACCAACTCCCTTCACCTTGACAAATAACCTCCGCCACCGAGGGGTCACCCCCTTCCGGTAAGATCCGCGGATTATAACGAGGGGGATCCAGCTGAAGCCCAGGTATCTAGTTAGAATGAAGAAAAGAGGCTGAGCAGCCATTACAGACCTACCATCTTAAAACCATCTCCAATAACTGGAGCCCAAAAAGGACATTCTGCCAACCCCATGAAGGGCGTGACCGAGCCTTAGCGCCTAGGAAGGTTCCTTGAGGGAAATATTTTCCTTTATAAACCTGGTCAAGGAGTGAATGAGGTTCATTGAGGATACGCCAGCCACTCTTTGCCAAAAGAGCTTGGTTAAATGTTCAAACTGGCGAAATCCCATCATCACATCATGTTTACTCCTACACATATTTCGCCAGGACATCCATCGAACCTTCGGATGGCCCTCATCAGCACCCCACCAGAACCAGGCCACATGTCTATCCAATAGACGAAAAAGATAGGGGTAACCGGAAACACGACATAACATGCAGGGGTAGAGCCAATGCTATTGACTTAATCAATGTTTCTTTTGCCGCCCAGGACAATGTCCTTTGCTTCCACCCCTGGAGTTGCTCTATTAGTTTCTCCTCCAAATATCTGAGCGTAGCCATCTTAGATCTTGCAACCAGCGTAGGTAACCCAAGATATTTATCATGGACCCCCACTGTGCCAACCCCTAAAATCGTGACCAAGAATTTTTGATCAAGCAGAGCAATATTTTTGCTAAAGTATACTGCCGATTTCTCCAGATTAACCCGTTGGCCACTAAGTTCCTCATATTCGTTCAAGACCTCAATTAAATTCTCGCACTCCTGGAGAGATCCTCTCAGGAATAAATCAGAATCATCAGCGAAAAAAATGAGAGATTCTTGGAGCACAAGGAGCCACTTTTACACCCTCCAGCTTTTTCTCCGAAATAGCCTTTCGGAGGAGAGCCGCAAACCCCTCTGTGAAGAGCACAAACAAGAGAGGCGATAGCGGATCCCCCTGGAGGAGCCCCCTGGAGGAAGTGAAATACCCCGAGGGGGTACCATTCATCGGGACATAAAATGACGAGGAGCGAAGACATTCATGTATCCGTCCTTGCCAGACAGAGTTAAAACCCATTTTATCCAAAACCGCTAGAAGGAAGGGTCATTCGACTCTATCATAGGCCTTTTCCATGTCAACCTTTAGAGACATTTTACCCCTTCTTCCCCTGCTTTTTGATTTTTAAATAATGCATTAACTCATGCCCTAGAAGGATGTTATCAATAATTTGTCGGTCTCTTATAAACGCATTCTAGCCCTCAGAGATGATATGTGGCAGTAGACCAGCAAGTCGTTCAGCCATGATCTTGGTTATCACTTTATAAACAAATTGACATAGGCAGATTGGACGCAACTGTCTGATAGTTTCCACATAATCCACTTTAGGAATCAAAGTGAGCCAGGTATGGTTAAAACTCCGAAGCATCCGACTCGTTGTAAAGAAAGAGCACACTGCCTCAATCACCTAAGTGCCCACAATATCTCAGAAAGCTTTGAAGAACTTTCATGTAAAGCCATCAGATCCCGGGGCCTGCTTCGACCCCATTGAAAATATCGTTCTCTATACCTCACTAGGCAAGACCTCAGCCGTAAACTGCGCATTCATTTGCGAAGTAACACTATGGGCAATGGGTAGAGTCGCCACCCTATCAGTCATATTAGGAACCTGGGATTCCAAGGTAAATAGATTCTGGTAAAAACCAGTAGCAATATTTGCTTTCCCACTTTCCTCAGTGACCCATTCACCCTCATCGTTTCAAAGACCGACAACAAAATTCCGTTTACGACGAGCGCGTGTGGCCGTATGGAAATAGGAAGAATTCTGATCTCCTTTCTTTAACCATCGGATACTTGATTTTTGCTGCCAGTATATCTCCTCCGCCTCCCACTGACGAGTCAACTCAGCTTCCAAGGTCATGATCACATCCCAGTCCACCGGATGGACTGATTTTATCTGGTCAATCTCCGCCTGAAGAGTCTTAATATTACGTAGGGAATTCCTAGTGCCCGCCCTGCTCCAATCTTAAAGCAGATGACGAAGTTTCTTCAGGCACTCCCAAAGTCGAAACATAAGGGTACCTTGGATCTCCTCCTGCCAGATATAGTTCACCATAGCCTTGACTTCTGGATTATCCGCCTAGAGGGCATCAAACCGAAAAAGGGGTCGAATATTATGAGTATACGACTTAACAGAGAGGAGAAGGGAACGATAATCCGATCCCTGGTCCGTAAAATGTTTTACCAGTCTCTGGATATGTGTCAATCCAGGACTAGGAACAAAGCGCCCTATCCAGACGTTCACAAATGCAAGCACCCATACGTTTGTTCGTCCAAGTGAATTGATCCCCTTGGTAACCAGGATCATGGAGACCCAAATCATGAACAAAGTCACGTAGACTAGTGGCTTGTGCAGCATTCCACGCCAGACCCCCATCCTTTTCACCCTCACGGAGAGTAGTGTTAAAATCACCTATGACAACATAGGGGTGATTGATGTTCGCACAAACTTCCCGCAACTGAGCCAATTAAGTAGCAATTATTGCAATATTACAGCTAATGTAAACAAAGATCACAACATAAGAGAAATCTCCTTCATTAATTTGCGTACAAATATAGAAATTGGAATGAAAAAACACCAAAGTGTCAACCCCGGGGGACCAAGCTACTACTAAACCACCAGATGCATCAACCACATCAACAAAGAAACAATGAGAAAGAGCAAGGCCTAAACCCCGCATACGGCGGGACCTACACGCCGGCTCGATCGCGTTTCAGAAAAGAACACGAGATCCGGTTTATTCGATTTAACTAGCCCTATAGCAGTTTGGAAAGTGAGGGATGGCCCAATTTCTCTCACATTCCAGGCAAGAAGCCTCATTTATCGGTTGGGGGCCACTCGAGGCTGGCTTCCTCCACCTTATCCAAAACATCAGTTGATTTCACAAATTGCTTCTTCGGGGTAGGAGGGTCACCCACATCCCCATCCAACTCATCAAGCACCCGCTTTCGATTCTCCATGATTGGGTCCATCAGATTAGACCCATACTCATTCATGCTCGAGCTTAACCCCTTGCGAGAAACACCCTCCTCTCGTGCAATGACCAGTCCAGCTTCAAACGCCTCCACCACTTCGTGAACACACCCTGTCATGACTTGGCAAGTCTTCACGGAGGCGCCAACTCTTGACCTTCGCTTGATTTCAAAAGAGTGGTGATCCTCGGTCGACTAATCTCCATCCGATTCAGTGGCATGTGATGATCCTCATAAATAGGACCATCCAGAGTAGCAACAATCTCTTTATCCTCCAGATCCAGCAGAGCACCAAATGGAGTAGAGCCCCCATCTTGGTTGGATATAGTCAGAGGGCAGCTTGCTCCTCCTTTCCTCAGACGCGGGCGAACCCGTGGTTCCGAAATCCCTAATTGGGTCGCGATCCTATAGGGCAGTCGAGGATCCTACAGAGGCTTATAGACGGGGTCTTTTGTAGGGCTAGAAGAATCACGTGACTGCATGGGGTGTATGGTCTTCTCACCTGCGGTCTCCTCCTCCTCGGACTCCTCTTGTAAAATCAGCCTACGCCGCCAGAATTGCTCGAGAGCCGCCGCCAGGATTGCTCGAGAGCCGCCGACATATGATCCGCCACCTGCTGGCGTTGGGGAGCCTGTCTGGCGCGTCTTCCAGACTGATGGCGACCCTTGGTGCCTTGCCGAGGAAGAGAGGCAGCATTTCTAGGCCACAACTTCTTCCAGACTGTTTCAGTGGTCTGATCCTACATCTCTTTGCTGGACGCTCTTCTATGATTTAAATTTCAGCAAAAGCAGTCTGAAATAATCATTTTTTCAGGCGGATCAATCTTGCTCTACGTCGGGCAATTTCACGAGGATCCCTTTTCGGAATAGGGTTCACGGTAGCTGGGAAATTGTCCCCTTTCTTGCTGTTGATTGGGACCTCTCTCATTCCCGTCCCATGGAGATGATCCCGTGCCGAGGAGAGCGATGTGCGATACCAGTGGTCCTGGTTTCTCAAGCTGGCCGCGAAAATGACGACGACCGCCCTCGTTAACCACCGTCCGACCAGCGAACAAAAAAAAAGGAGGAGAGAGCTCCTCATATTCACACATATAAATATATATATATATATATATATATAGTTTCACTCAACCTCATGGATCAAATTTTTTTGACTTGGTTAGTGATCTTGGATCACATTAACACTAGGAAAAGTTGAAAGGCTGTGTTTAATTAAAATTTAAAACTAATGATTTTCCTTTGTGTGGTAATCCCCGAGACGAGAGACGAGAGACCATTTATTCTGTTAATGTTCTTACTCCAGACTCCGTAGTACTTTTAAACTCCCTGTTGCCGAATGTAGTACGTCCTGATGGTTGTTGCTGCTAAGTGCGGCCGTGCTGGTGTTGTTGGTTCTAACTGTTTTTCTTGTTGCTGCTAACTACTGCTACCTGTTGCTCATTTCCTTCTACCAGTGGCGCTTTATATGGCTATGAAAAACTCCAGAGGATAGTTATTGGTAAAAGGGAAAAATAAGTTTGCATGATTTCTTTGATGAAAAGCATAATTTCATCCATCAAAAAGAGAGTGCGGGAAGACCCAACAACTCCGAATCCAAAGCTACAATATGGAGAATGATTGAAACGACAAGGCGCCCAACATTAAATACTGTTCAATGATGATGATAAGTAAACCTCCTTCTTGGATTGTACAACAGGGTTATACATACGCTTAAGAGTCTAATTTCCAGAGCAAAGAGCTAAAACACCCACAACAGAGACGGGGAAAAAAAACAACCTGCGGGGACGCTCTTTGGATGTGTCTGCTAATCCAAACCCTCTCTAAGGCTTTATATATAGTTTAGAGAGTTTGCATCAACCAAAAGCTTTGCTTACCCATGCAGCTCGCCGGCGGGCTTGCTTCAACAAACAGCTTCACCGCCACTTCGCAGTCTCTTATTTGTCACGTTCAATGCAAGTTCATTTACAGATATAGAAGATCTCTTGAACTGCCCAAGTCTTCCAGAAGATCTTAACTGAGGGAGTGTGCTTTGTCTGGCTGCCCGGCGGAGGTTTCTCCATCATCCGAGGTACCTGTCATTTGTCCATGAATCATCGGGAGAAGCTAATCACTTCGGAGCATTCTCATCAATAACAAAGATATCGTCGAATAAGGAAGCCTGACGTCTCATGAAATCAACTTATTAGTGTTCTAATGAAGTTCTACACCAAAAAAAGGCTGCTCAAAGTCTATTCTATTCCCACGTGAAGTAAAAAGGACCATTCAATCATCCGACAGAAAAGCTAGGAAGAGTCGATTGCATAATCAACAGACCATTACTGTTTGTAATATTTCAGGCGCCAACTCCAGAGGGTGGAAGAAAGGAAACCGGAAAACCAAAAGCACGTGTAGCAGAAACCAATAGGATCCTTTTTGAATCCTGAATCTAAGTTGAGCACAAAGCATCCACTGATCAATATGAGAAGAAAGATTAAATCTTTCAGACAGGTTGGTCCTACAAAACTGCTGGAGATCACATCTGCTAGCTCATTATGTGACTGAATTTCATTTGTTCCATTTTCCCTCTCCTTCTATCCCTTTTTGGTGTTCCAAGTCTCACCGATCCCTACTTCCAATCTCAACTTCTACCTTAATATCCCATTTCTTTCAGTCTTTTACTTTGCCTCTCTGTTTCTCGTGTTCTAGTCTCTTCAAAGCTTTCCAACTTCTTTTGTGCACCATAAGACAAATTTGACACCAACTAGGACATCCACAAATATATTAGAATGGTTCCCAGCACAAAGAATTTCTTACCTTTCACCACGACGCACTTTCAGTCTGATCATTGACAACGACCATCTCCATCCAATTAGTATCTACGTCTTGGGTTAGGTTCTTCACAGATCCACTACTAACCCAAACGTCAATGACATACATAAACAAAGGCACATAAATTATTAATAACGACAGAAGATTCACTTATAAAAAGTAGTCAGTTTAAAGAACAACAACAAAAAAGCAGATTAAAGAACATGTTTTCCAGTCCCAGAGACTGAATTCGGGGCAGATTGAACACAGAATGATGCTATGCAGGGCAATTAATTAACCTGAGAGTAGCAACTACGTCCTTAAAACCATGCAGTAGTCAAGTCATTGCCTCTGTGATAAGTTAACAGCCAACTTCCCTCATCCTCCACCAACAACACGCGTCAAACAATATATAGAGTATATCCAAGGAAAGGGAGAGCTGTAAATTTGAAGACCCAATTACAATGCCTTTCATGTCTAAGGACCAATTGCCAGTCAGTCTCTACATTTGCATACGACTTAAGATGATGTAGCAGAAGCGCTGAGACAAGAAGATATAGCAAAACGACTTGAGAATTGAGATGATGTATAGTTCCAACGGTACAGTAACAGCCTTAAGTCCTCCACTAGTTTTAGTTGCAACTTAACCAAGTGGATCCTATCTCACATAAAACAAAGATTGTAAAACCGTACAAGAGGGTGTATTGGATAAGTTAGTGATAGGGTATTTTGTGATTAAACCGTGGTTTAACCGTTTCTTACCGGTAAAATACTATACCAGCTTGAACTCCAATAGCCGATTTTTACAGCCAGATCGTTGATACGGTAGATTTAGCAAACACTGTATTAAAGTACTCATATTTTGAGTCGCATTTACAACTTAGAAACAAATGTGTCAGATTGGACAGTATCATCTGCTCAAGACAAATGAAGGGCAATGGCCACACAGACAATGAAGCATGGAACTTGCAGAGACAAACCAAGCCAAACAAAACAGGGAATCCCATTAACCATGCAGCTCAAAGCATGAACACAAACAGAGATAGTTACCCGAGATTGTAAACGCTAATGGGGCCCAGAAGCTGCGGCTGCTGCTGATGGTGATGATGCTGTTGTTCCTGCTGCTGCTGCTGATTTTCCTCTTGCTGCTGCCCCAATCCAACACCATCAGTCGCCACAGCAACAGCACTCGAAGGAGTTCCCTTCGCTTCCACAAATCTCCAGAGATACCACGAAGCCACAGACCTGTAAGGCCTCCACTTCTCGCACAATTGGTCCATCTGCGACGGCCGCGGCAAATCCTCCAAGCTGTACAGCATCTGCACGCCTTTCCTTATCCCCGAGTCGTTAATCGGCAGAACGTCCGGCCGATGAAGCGAGAAGATCATGAACATATGCACAGACCACGAACCAATCCCGTTCACCATGGTCAACATCGTGAACAGCGATTTATCGTCCATAGCCACAATCGAAGAATCGGACAAAATCCCATTCTGATACTTCCTCGCGAGGTCGTGAAGGTAGCTGGCTTTTCTCCCCGAGATCCCAATTTGACGGAGCTGAATTGCGGATTGGGCGAGGACGGTTTCAGGGAGGACGTTGGATTCGCCGCCGCAGAGGGAGATGAAGCGGGTGTAGATCGAGGTTCCGGCCTTGTAAGCAAGCTGTTGGTAGAGGATGCTTCGGGTTAAGGCGAGGAACGGCGTGTGGAATGTGTCGAAGGTTGGGGCTGGGTAGAGATCGATTAGGGAGCTCAAGAGAGGATCCGACTGACGGAGGTGGCGAATCGCGATGTCGACCTCTCCGTCGCAGGATAGGGATCTTGCGATTATCCTCGGCCCGACTGCCAGAGCGCGCTGCTGATTCGAAGCCTTGGTTCTCGAGGATTTCGCGGTGGCAGTGGCGGTATTAACTTGGTCGGCAGCGGCGGTGGTCGGAGTGGCTTCCTCCGGGGAGAGCTTGCGGATTTTGCGGGGGCGAGAGGGGATTTTGGTGAGAGGGGAGGAGGCGGAGTGAGGAGGCGGAGGAGGGACGGCGGTGAGTTCAGTTGGCAGAAGAGTGACGGTGACGACGGAGGAGACAGTCGCGGTCTCAATTGGGGTGACGGAGGTGGGGGAATTCGATTGGGGTTGGGATTCCGACGGAGTCTGAGTTTGAGACTGGGATTGGGATGGAGGTTGAGGTTGAGATTGGGTTTGTTCGCCCATGTGTGACGGAAGAAATCAGGAGAGGAAGCAAAGCTCAACCTAATGATTGATGGCGGAACCGCGACGACGGCGGCGGCGGCGGCGGCGGCGGTGTCAGAGGCGGTGAAAGGGGGGATTTTTTTCAGATATAAGAGGAAGATAGGTATTAATAAAACGGTGAGTTGTGGTGCGTGCGTGTGCAGAGACCAGAGAGATTTTGTCGAAAATAGGCGGAGAGTGATTTTTTCGACTTTTCCTCTTCTCAGGCTCCGCTATTGACGCGTTCGGTTTTGATGGGCCGGACTTGTTCTCTTGGACGACTAGGGGTGGGCAACGGGTACTCAATCCGATTTAGAGAGCAATCTCTTTTCCATGTTTCAAATCCGCACGGGTTAACGGGTATCCATTATCCGTATGGGACGAATAACGGGTTCCCGTAAATACCCGTCCAATTGGAAGTAGATGAGTTTGACGATTTTTTTTTTTCTTTCAATTTCTTCTCGTGACATTTTTAAGGTCCAAAGAGGTGTGATACTAATGAATCAACAAATCTTCTTACACAGTTCCTAGTTTAGTACGAGATGATAAGGAGTAGCTATTGGGAGGCCAACACTCTGTTTGATTGAGTGTTAGAGTATAAACATATATATTCTGTTTAAGTATGATTATGAGTTTCCAACATTATCGGAAAAAAAAAGTATGATTATTAGTTTCCATTATCTAAGTGTGAAACTCCTATAGCTAGTAGCAGCCACTGATTTCATTTTTTCCTTTCTCCACTTAATACATATTACCATCATCAGTGGCTACCAATTTTGCATTGGACTAATGGGTATAACGAGTACCCGTAATACTCAAACGGGTATTAACGGGTAATCCGCGGGTACCCAAAGTAGCAATTCGTGATCCCAAGTAGGGTTGGCAAAGAAAACCGACGGATCGAGTATCCACCCGAACCCGAGCCGGTCAACGCTGGCACTCAAACGGGTATTAACGGGTAACCCGCGGGTACCCAAAGTAGCAATTCGTGATCCCAAGTAGGGTTGGCAAAGAAAACCGACGGATCGGGTATCCACCCGAACCCAAGCCGGTCAACGCTGGCAAAACCCGCTTTGACTGGGCACGGGTCGGGCTTGGGTAAAACCCGAAATTTAAATGCTTGGGCATGGGCCGGGTGTGGATATTGTGATATCTGACCCATACCCGCCCGGAGTAGAATAACCCTAATTCCTAACCCCCGTCCCAGACCCATGTCCCCTGACCCCTCGTCTTCGCGAGACCCCAAGTCCCAAACTCACTCCCTCTCTCAAATCTCTCATCAAAGTTTCCCCGAGTTCGCGTGCTGCGCAGCAGCGGTTCCCAATTCCCAATTTCCCATCAAATCTCATTCCTCTCGAGAGCCGAGACTCGACTCCTCGTCTTCTGTCTTCTCAGAGCCAATCAGCCAAGCAAACCATTCAATGCAGCCCAACCCTCTGCGTCCCTCGACTCTTTCTCCTTTGTTAAATATTCTTCACAAGAAGCTCCTGCTCTTCTATCTCGTCACTTTGGCAACTAGTGGAAGCCGACCACTTACAAAGGTCATATTCTCAAATTTTTCCTCTTCCTGCTACCTCTGTAGCAGTCAATTTCTTCCTTGATTCAATTTGAAATTCTGGGTTCAATTTCAATTTCTTGAATTTAATTTATGGGTTCATTGACGAAGCAATGACCCTCTGTTGAAATCCTGAAAACGAAATTGTTATGGCCAGTTCAAGTTCAGTTTTGATTTCTTAAAAATGTCGAGAGCCTCCCTAAGATCAATCACAAAACCAAACTAATCCAGAAGCACAAAATCCAGTTACCAAACTTGATGGTGATGATGAAGAGGTTCTGGATTTGGGAAACCTCAAGAGTGATGTGTGGCAGCACTTTATTAAGATAAAAAAGGAGAACTCATCAAGGCTAAATGCAACCATTGCAAGAAGTTGCCTGCTGGTGAATCGAATAATGGTACTTCGCACTTGAGAAATCATGTGAAGACTTGTATGCAAAGGAAGATTCATGATGGGAAGCAAAAGGTACTCGGTGCTAACTTTGTCACTAAGGGAAAGAGGAAAATGGTTGCTACTCAGTTTAACACAGCTGTTTCGAGGCAAGATCTTGTTGTGGCCGTTATTATGCATGGGTATTCTCTGTCTATGGTGGAACACTTATATTTTAGGAGGTTCTTGTCTGGCCTCCAGCCCTTGTTTAGTGTTCCTACAAGGAATACTCTTAAAAGTGACATTTTTAAGATGTATGAGAGTGAGAAGAGTAGGATAATGAAACTGATTGGTGGTAACAAAGGGAGGGTTGCCATTACCACTGATATGTGGACAGCAACCAACCAGAAAAAGGGTTACATGGCTGTTACGGCTCATTATGTGGATAATTCTTGGATTCTTCGAAGTCACTTGCTTAGCTATGATATGTAATACGTAATTTCAATGCTTTCTTGTTTATTTTGTGAGAAGGAATCACTAACTTACCATTTTCCAACTGATGTCTTTTCTTTTTTATAGGTTCGCTTATGTTCCAACTCTGCATACAAGTAATAGGCTAGCTACTGCTTTGTTTGACAGTATGATGCACTGGAATGTTGATTCTAAGGTATCAACTATAACCTTGGATAACTGTAGCACCAATGATTCTATGAGATGCTTAAGGGGGTGCTTTACTACATATGAGATGTTATGCACATATTTTAAACTTGATAGTTAAAGATGGGTTGGATGTGCTTTGAGATGGCATTGAAACAATCCGTGAAAGTGTAGCTTATTGGACTGCTATTCCTAGGAGGATAGAGTTATTTGAGGGGGCAGCAAAGCAGTTGGAGTTTTCTTGTGATAAAAAGTTGATTTTAGATTGTCCGACTCGCTGGAATTCAACATATGATTTGCTGGCTGCTACAATACCGTATGAAAAAGTGTTTATTAGACTGAAACAACGTAACTCTCACTATACTTGTTTGCCTACAAGTGATCATTGGGCATTTGCATCGATTGTTTGTGACAAGTTGAAAATTTTCAGTGAGATATCCAATTTGTTCTCTGGTACCAAGTATCCTAATGCCAATCTGTTCTTTACAAAGATATGTGATTTGAAGTTAAAGATTTGTGAGTGGCTTGTTGATGATAATGCTATGATTTCTATGATGGCTGAATTGATGTGAGATAAGTTCAAGAAATACTGGGATGATATTCATGAAATACTAGCTGTGGCTGTTGTGTTGGACCCGAGATATAAGCTTCATATTGTGGAATATTATGCTCAAAAGTTTGAAGTGGCAGTCTATCTTGGATGTGGTCAAAATCAGGGCTGTTTTGAGTGATTTAATCACAGAATATCAGTCTAAAATGAATAAGAATGTTGGGGTTGCTTCTGGTGGTTCGAGTGCTCAATGGTGGTTCTTCTTCTGTTGGATCTTGACTTTCAGCTGTTTGTACAGCAACAGAAAAAGTCAAGTGGAACACCTGCTCAAACTGATTTGGACATGTTTTTGAGCGAGGAAGTGTTACCTTGGACTACCGATTTCGACGTCTTGTTGTGATGGAAGTTGAATGGGGCTAAGTATCCCATTTTGCAAGATATTGCAAGGGATATGCTTGTTGTCCATGTTACATCTATTGCATCTGAATCGGCTTTTAGCGTTGGTGGTCGATTGTTGGATCCTACTCGTTGCAAACTTCACTACAACACTATGGAGATTTTGATGTGTACTAAAAGTTGGCTTCAAAATTCGATTTCAATAGGTATATATCTTATTCAATAACTTTTACTTATTTATAAGTTATCTTTATATAACTTCTATTTGCTCACTTGTATGAATTAGCAGCTGATCCTGGAAATTTGGAGGAGATTTGTGAATTGCTCAATAATGAAGAGAATGAAGATGACACAGAAGGTAAGTAATGTCATAGTTTTAATAGTATAATATACATTGCAATTGAAAATGCTCATGTATCTTTCTTTTTTTTTGTTTATCTATGAAGATCAATCTTTGGTGAAATCTTAATTCGACCTATCAATTGATAGAAGACTAATGAATGATGATTTCTGGAGTTGGAGTATGCTGGAAGTTTGCTGCTGGAGTTTGCTGGAATGTTTCTGGAATTTTGCTGCTGAAGTTTTTTTGCTGGAAATCTGCTTTTTTGCGGGGTACATTATTGCTGGAATTTTTTGGAGTATGCTGGAATCTGTCTGGAGTTTCTAGAATTTTGTTGCTGAAGTTTTTTTGCTGGAAATCTGCTTGTTTGCTGCGTACATTATTGCTGGAATTTTTTGGAGTATGCTGGAATCTGTCTGGAGTTTCTGGAATGTTTCTAGAATTTTGTCGCTGAAGTGTTTTTTATGGAAATCTGCTTGTTTGTTGTGTATGTTGTATTTGGAATTTTCTAGAATTTGCTGGAATCAGTCTGGAAGTTTGCTGGGATTTATTGGAGGGTTGCTGCTGGAATTTTGCTGTTGTAAATCTTCTTGTCTGCTGGAATTTTGATGTTGGAGCTTGCTAGAATGTTGCTGGAGTGTGCTAGCATTTTGCTTCTGAATTTCTTTTGCTGAAAATCTGGTTGTATGCTGGGATTTTTCAAGAGATGCTGGAATTTCCAAATGCAATGTTATTGTATTTGTGTGGAAGGCTTATTGTTATATTAGTTCATATTGAGTATTTCATATTTTGTTTTATTTTCTTATGATTTGCTCATGGTTTTATGAACAAAGAAGGAAGATTTGGGATCTCGGCGGATATCCGTGGACCGTTCGGGTATACCCGATTCCCGCTCGGATACGGGCATGGTATAGGATTTAGTATCCATGCTCCTACTTCGGGCGGGTTCCGGTATACCCGAATATCTTTGCGGGCGGGGATTGGATACCCATTATCCGGACCCAACCCGACCCATTGCCATTTGCCAACCCTAATCCCAAGTCCCATCCCGTAAAAAAAATTACGGGTATTTGGATACCCGTTTCCCGTTGTCCACCCCTATTGGACCGAGCTTGTGTGCTATGGGCTTTTGCTGGCTGGTTTTGGACCACAATCCAAAATAATAAATTAATAAATTAAATTCAAGAAAAAGGTGCATTTGATTTGTTTTATTTCTGTCCCCACTCTAGAAACTATATAAAATGAAAATCACATATACAAATTCAGGAAAGGATTAGGAATGACAATTTCTTATTCTGATCTGTGCGCGATCCAACCTGACTCGATCTGTTTGGGTGGTATTATCTGATTCGCAGTTGTGTGGGGTGGGGGCATGGGTGTTGCTTTCGACCTGTCCCGTGCCCCGCCCCGCATCATTCACGATCGGTTCTATTCACTTCATTTGCATTAATATCTACATATATTACCTCCTATTTTGAATATTTATAAAATCATAATTTCATCCCAAAATAATTTTAAATCTTTATCTTTCAACTATATAGAGTTATAGACCCAATTATGCTTTCTACTATATTTCTTTCTCTGTCTTCTCCATACGATCCTGTAAAAGAGTTAAATATCAACCTTCCTTTTTCAGATAATATATAAGAATAGATTGACCCGCTTTATCTCATATCTGCACAAATATTTATACAACCTGACTCACGCTTAATTAATACGGGACTGGTAGGAAGTAGATAGGTGGAAGTGGTTTCAAAGTAAAACGTGTCGACCACAGAGGAGAAGGCTGCGCCTCCAAATCAAGGAGAATATTGGTAGGCCCAATCAATTCGACCAAGCCCATTTGATTATTTGAGGTAGCTATGACTATGACAGCACGTACGTAGTACACATTCGATCGATCACGTAATTAGTTTCTGCTTCAATAATTGCACAAAAGAAGAAAGAAAGAAACCACACAATTAGGCCTCGAGGAAATTGCGTGGCTTGGGACTTGGGAGGCCACGTAATGGAACCAACCAAATGCAATCTTATGCAAATCCAATTGTTAGGTTGAAATTTAATCAGAGCGTCGGTGCAATGTGATTTTGCAGGTTCACGTTTTTTTTTATAAAAAATATCATGTATTGATAAAAAATAGATAGTTACACCCTGAAAACTAGCCAGGACTGAAAATCAAAAAAGCGGCTCATAGACTGATACAATGAAAGGGCTTTCCTAGCTACCGCTACCATATTGTTCTCCCGACCTACAAAACACACGCTAAAGTTAAATTGAGTATTAAAGTAATGACCAATCTCTTCCAGAACAGCACCCAACCTGCTATCTCTCGTGTTGGCTTGATTAATTTTGTCAATAATCACATTTGCATCGCCCTCAAATCGGACCTCCGACAAGCCTTGCTCCATACACCAAATAATGGCTTCCCTAAGCACAAGCAATTCCACCATCACCGGGTCATCTACTTGAGAAAACTGAACCCCTCGAGCCAAAAGTAGTGTCCGCGCTAGATCAAGGAGAACCATCCCACCAACCGAATGCGACCCACACTTAGTAGCCCGTCCCACATACAAACCAACTGGGAATCACCTATTGCAGGTTCACGTTTGGTGGAGATGTGATTAAAAAGTTAAAAGAAAAAGGTAGGGATTTTCCTTTCCTGGAACTAGAATCCATAGGGCAATTTGCCTTCGGTTATTGTTCATGTTTCAAACTTGCAATAGGTCACCAACACCAACAATAGCAATCCCTAGAGGCGGGACTCGTCCTATCATGAATCAGATGGGATAATATTCACCGGGTTGATTGGTTCAGCTAATAAATTTGCGGAAAGTTTGCTCGAATTTGATTTTAAAATTTCAACAACATTTTGTATATGATCCTGATTGGCCTCAATCAACTTCTGATCAAGTCCTCTAGAGACACAAAAAAATGTCAATAAAAGATCTTATAGAAATGAGCCAAAATTGGTTTGGACTCCCTTATTTTTATTTTCTCTAACCGCTTTAAATTCGAAACTGCATCAGTCTGTCATTCATTCCTCAAGACAGCTGGAGCCTGCCAGAAGGGGAAAAATAGAGAAGGAAAAAAAGATCCGGTGCTTCGCGCCTTCACTGCTCCTCCTTCTGGTGACCATTTTCGCCGGTAATCATTTTGGATAAGCTTCTTTGCTTCGACGGACACGCACAAAAACAAAACACCAAAGAAAACGCCATTAACAATGGCTCCCCCCACCTCCTTTTCAAAACAAACCTGACCAATCAGTGACGACATAATCCCTTTGTTCAATCATAAAATAGAAGAAAAGAAGTAGAATAAGTAGTGCTTCTCTCTATTCTCTACACCCTTCTCCCAGTCTCTTCAGTAGAGTGGTCGCCGGAGTTTGATCGCTGGGTGGGGTGAAAATGAGTTTCCGGGACGATAACGAAGATGGGAGGGGCGGCGGCGATCTGCGGAAGCCGTTCCTACACACGGGTAGCTGGTACCGGATGGGTTCGAGACAGTCTTCCAGCATGATGGGCTCTACCGCCGGGTTTCGCGACAGCTCCATCTCCGTCCTCGCCTGCGTTCTCATCGTCGCTCTTGGTCCTATTCAATTCGGCTTCACCGTAAGCACCATCGAAATTTCCGATTATGGCTCTTTTTGTCTTCTGGGTGCCTACTCAAATTGGTCAAATTCAATTGCTTTGCTTCTTCTACTGCAGTGTGGGTATTCTTCTCCGACCCAGTCCGCCATCACAAAAGATCTCAATCTTACCGTCTCCGAGGCAAGAATGAACCTAACCCACCTCGTGATTTTTTTCTTCGGGCTGCTGTTTTTGAGTTTAATGCCTTTCTGGGTTTTGAAATTGGGCAGTTTTCTTTGTTTGGGTCCTTGTCGAATGTTGGAGCTATGGTTGGAGCGATTGCGAGTGGGCAGATTGCTGAATACATTGGCAGAAAAGGGGTAAATTCGTCTTGTACTTCTGCTCTTCGGTTTATTTTGTTTGGATCATGTACTTTTGTTTGCTATTTTGAGAGCTGGGCTTTCCTCTTTTCAGTCTCTGATGATTGCTGCAATCCCCAACATTATCGGCTGGCTAGCAATCTCGTTTGCCAAAGTGAGTTGACTTACTCTGTTCATAGTGGAAAGAAAGCAGTACAGCTTAGTTAACCATAAGCTTGTACAAGCATTTCTAAAAATGGTATTTTTGCTTGTTTTGGCTTGGAAAGGATTCTTCATTCCTCTACATGGGGAGATTGCTGGAGGGTTTTGGCGTGGGGATCATCTCTTACACGGTTACACTTCAGTCTCTAGCGTTTGCTTTTAATTCTTTTCTACTAATACGCTTGTGAATTGAAACAATGAAAGAATGTTGATTCAATCAGGTGCCTGTTTACATAGCGGAGATAGCACCACAAAACCTGAGAGGAGGCTTGGGTTCTGTCAATCAGGTAGGTTGAGATGAATCGCTTGAAATAGAGGAGCAAAATAGATTTTGAGCGATACTTTAACAGTGAGTTCCTAATCTATTTTAGTACATCTCTATCTATAGCTCTCTGTCACTATTGGAATCCTGCTGGCTTACCTGCTCGGGTTATTCGTCCCATGGAGAATTCTAGCTGTTTTAGGTAAAACTCCTGAAGCTTTTCTCCGTATATGCTGCTGAGTCTCTCGATCTTCTGCTATGTTGGTAATTAATTGGATGTTGCCTTAATGCAGGAGTATTGCCTTGCACGATTCTGATACCTGGCCTGTTCTTCATTCCTGAGTCTCCCCGGTGGTTGGTAAGCTATTAAGGTTTCTTCAAATCAGGAATTTTGTTTATGATGCTTCTTCTTGATGCTAATATTATGCTCTCCTACTGATAAAAAGGCGAAAATGGGGATGATGGAAGATTTTGAAGCATCTCTGCAAGTTCTCCGTGGGTTCGATGCTGATATTTCTCTGGAAGTGAATGAAGTTAAGGTAATGTGCTCTAAAAAGTTCAATACTTTGAGTTCCATACACTGATGCCACTTTCAGTTACTTCAGTTCTCTTTTGCTTCTTTCCTTGTAGAGAGCTGTTACTTCTGCAGGCAGAAAGCAAGCAATCCGCTTTGCTGACCTAAAAAGGAAAAGATATTGGTTCCCCTTGATGGTAAGTAATAACATTCTTGCATAACTGTGGAGTTAAATCTCTGAGAGAAGTCTTAGCTTATTCATCTGATACATGCAGGTTGGAATCGGCTTGCTTGTTCTGCAACAGCTCAGTGGAATCAACGGCGTACTATTCTATTCCAGCACCATTTTTGAAGCTGCTGGTAGTCTCCCATGATTTCACATCAAAAGTTTCTTGGCGGTTGATTTTTCCTTTTTTCCTGGCTTGTTTTGATATCCTTCAAACTTGGTTCAGGAGTTACAAACGGCAATTTGGTCACATGTGTCGTTGGTGCCCTTCAGGTCCTAGCCACTGCTGTAACAACCTGGCTCATTGATCGAGCTGGCCGCCGAGTTTTGCTCATAGTGAGTTAGAGACACCATTGGGGGGGGGGGGGGGGGGGGGGGGGGGGTGGGGACGCAGTAGCCTCTCTTATGAATGGTCCCAAAAACAAAACAAAACATGTCAATTCATCAATGTCTTACGTGTGTTTTCCTGTTTCAGGTCTCTTCTATTGGGATGACTCTCAGCATTCTACTTGTCGCTGTATCATTTATCGTCAAGGATTTTGTATCAACCGACTCGAATTTGTCCAACATATTGGGGATTCTGTCAGTCGTTGGAGTTCTGGTAATCGTCCTTGAAACTTTCGAGTTTGCCTCACAGTCCTTGAATCTCTTGAAAACATATTTTTTGTTGTCGTTTCAGGCTATGGTTGTTACCTTCTCTTTGGGAATGGGAGCCATCCCTTGGGTTATCATGTCCGAGGTATGCCGATCTTACAGCAGATCCATCTCTGTGAAACAAACAATCGCTGATTAATTTGTTATCGGTGAAAATTTGCAGATTCTTCCAGTCAACATTAAGGGCCTTGCTGGAAGCACAGCAACGCTGGCGAATTGGTTCGTGGTGTGGCTGGTCACCGTGACAGCAAACTTGCTCTTGACTTGGAGTGCAGGAGGTTGGTCTTTTGCTTGCTTCTCTTACTGATGCATCTCAGCCTTCTGCTTTTTAGATGTTTGAATCTCGACTTTTGCTTCTCTTCTCTTCTTCAACAGGAACTTTCATCATTTACACGGTGGTGAGTGCCTTCACTGTGGCATTCGTATCACTTTGGGTTCCCGAGACAAAAGGAAGGACTCTGGAAGAAATTCAAGGCTCCTTAAGATGAGATCATCCCTTTTGTTCTTCGACCTTCTTCTTGTTCTTTCTCTTCCATACCGGTTTTCCGAGATATTGGGCCAACATATAGCAATCTTATGTACACCATTTTGGGGAACAGCAAAGGAAGATGTAGAATTTGCCCTTGATTTTGGCCGTTTTGTATGTGGGTTGTTTCTGGGTCATTGTGTGAATAACAAAATTCTATATGCCAATTCTTTCAGTAAACATGGACTTCATAGGCTGTTCTTTTGCACATTCTTTGCAAGCCCTCTACAATTTCTTCTTCCTGGCTTGTTCGCCAGTTCGACACAAGTCGGAAAAAATTACCTTCATTGTATAAGTCGTCATCATTGTTACTATGGTGCTTGTATACAGTGATTAATCCTGCGCAGGTTGACATAAAAATAAAATAAATACAGTCATTAATCCTTGCTTCAGATTATTCAAAAAAAATCCATGCTTCAGTTGTTTGCAGAAACTGAACTGCGTGAGTTGTTAGCCCTACAAATGCCAAGAACAGCAACTTTCGAGCTCTACACACTATACTGGGACCTACTTAAGATCACTCTGCCATTCTTCCCAAAAATGCCAAAACTTCACCTACCGGAGACGAGGAAGTGGTCGAATCGTAGCCAAGGAGGAAGACAGGTTGGGGCCTCGAATCGAGTGAGTCCTCTACATCATTTTGCTAAAGAGGTGATCCAATCAATCATATTCTTGGTGAAGCAAATACTGCTCAACTTCACTTAGAGAACCTCCTGAAGAAGCTCTTCAGTAAGGGCTTTGGGAAGTCCCATTACACTATCAGTAGTTCCAACCTAAATCATGAGACCCAACAAGACAAACAGAAGGAAGTATCAAATTTTGGTTCACAGTTCTCCATCATCCATCAATTCCATCAGTGAGTTGGGGAACTAACCACTTGGTTTAATAAAAAGCACTACTAAAGGATGTTCTATAATGAGACCCCCTGCAGCTTTGAGCACTATCCCTTCTGCAATCTGTGCAAGCGAAAGATAATTATGACTTTTAAGAAGGAAAATTCCACCCGAGCATTGTGAGAAGAAATTGAATAGATAGGGTTTTTGTGGAAGGATTCTCAACTGAGAGCTCCTTGGTTTTGCATTTTCATTTATATACAAAGCGGTACAGAGAAGGTAAAGTTGATTAGCAACAGCTAATCTACAGTAAAAATTAACAACTCAAACTAACCAATAAAACTTGTATAGCTGGCTAACTAACTTCTAACAGGGATTAAATAAAACGGCAGCGGCTTGGAGCTCCACGTTTCTTCACGCAACGGAACGACAACGTTTCACTTCAATCCCTGTTTCTGGATAGGAGAAGAACGGCGTCGTTCCGACTTGAACTTAATCTGCACTTCGTGGGAAGCTTGCCTTCTTCCTTACAGCAGCAGCTTGATGCAGAGTGATCAAATGAAGTCCGAGTTGCTGCTGTTGGTGATTCGAATCATCATTCCAATACCCCCCCCCCCCCCCCCCCCCCCCCCACAAGCTGGCGAGGGTCTTCCAGAAACTCCCAAGCTTTTGGTAAATAAATCTGCAAACTGATGAACAGTAAACAAATGATGTAAACTGATCAACCCATTGGTCAATCTCTCCCTAATAACGTGACAATCCGCTTCAATGTGTTTTGTCCGTTCATGAAACACATGGTTTCTTGCAATGTGAATGGCGGACTGGTTATCACAGAACACCATAACAGGAGAAGGGTGATCAATGCCAAAGTCAGCAAGTAATCTGACTAGCCACTGAACTTCACAACTAAGGTGGGCTAGAGCTCTGTATTCTGTCTCAGAAGATGATTTAGTTACAGTGCTCTGCTTCTTACTTTTCCAACTGATCAACCCTTTACCAAGAAATGTGCAAAACCCTATGATAGACCTTCTCGAATCCGGGCAAGTTGCCCAATCTGAATCACTAAAACCAGTTAACTGCATAGAAGAATCACTGGGATAGAATAAGCCTTGGCCTGGTGAGTTCTTAAGGTACCTGAATGCCCTATGTAATGCCTTGTTGTGTACAGTTGTTGGAGCATCTTGAAACTGACACAACTGTTGCACAGCAAAGGTTATGTCAGGTCTGGTGTTGTTCAGGTACTGAAGTTGTCCAAGGAGATGCTTAAACAAGGGAATATCAAGGTAAGGTTCCCCATCTGAGGCAGAGAGCACTTGTTTGACACTTGATGGGGTCTTTGCTGGCTTGCACTCATCAAAACCAGCCTCCTTTAAAAGTTCAATGCAGTATTTTCGTTGGCAAACATGAATTCCCTTATCTGTTCTGCTAACTTCTAGGGCAAGTAAGTACTATAATTCTCCCAGATCTTTCATCTTAAACAAGGACATCAACATCCTTTTAACTTCCTTCACTGCATCAAGGCTAGCACTGCCAGCCACTATATCATCAACATAGACTATTAAAACAACCAAAGGCCCCTGAACAGTGGAAAGGAAGATGGAATAGTCTGCAAGAGACTGTTTGAAACCATTACTGAGTAAAGACTCAGTTAACTTTGCATACCACATTCGACTGGCTTGTTTCAGCCCATAAAGAGACTTCTTGAGTCTGCAAACCTTCCCTTTGTACTCAGGTAAATCCCTTAATCCAGGTGGCAATTCCATATAGACCACTTCATCAAGCTCTCCATTCAGAAATGCATTATTAACGTCCATTTGGTGTATTTCTAAACAGAAGCAACAGCCAGTAACATCTTAACTGAAGTGATCTTAGCCACTGGTGAGTAGGTATCACAATAATCAATCCCATATATTTGGGTATAGACTTTAGCAACTACCCTTGCCTTAAACCTTTCTAAGGCTCCATCTGACTTGTACTTTGTTTTGTACACCCATTTGGAGCCAATTGGCTTAACCCCCCAGGCAAGTTAGTAATGTCCCATGTGTCATTAGCTTGAAGTGCACTAAACTCTTCATTCATGGCTGCATTCCATCTGGGATCTCTGGCAGCTTCCGCATAGCTCACTGGCTCCTCATTGGTAAGCAGAGTAAGAGCAAAATGTTGCCGAGGAGGAGTGAGATGGGACATACTGACTTGGACTAATCCAACATAAAAGTCATCATATATCTTAGGAAAGACAGGTACCCTTGTGGATTTCCTAGGGGGAACTACAGGTTTGGCAGAGGTGGAAGGAATGGAAGAAGGAGAAGAGTGGTAATGATAGGGACTGGGTGAGGAATGATAAGGACTAGGTGAGGGATGATAGAGACTAGGTGATGGATGATAGGGACTAGGTGATGGAGGAGGCTGATCATTGTCACTGTCCGAGTCAGAAGGATAGTGACTAGCAGCAGGAGGAGAGGAAGTGGTAGGAATGTCAGTAGATGAGAATGGAAAAACATCATCATCCACGATAGGTGAAGGGGAAAGATCAGGAGGAAGAGGTGCAGGATTGGTAGACTGGGATTGTTTGAATGGTAGAATGGCTTCATGAAAGAGGGCATCTCTACTGACAAAGACTTGATCAGAGTCAAGGTCAAGGAGTTTGAAGCCTTTTAATACCAGTGGGAATGCCAAGGAAGATGCATTTCCTGGCACGAGGTGCAAACTTAGTCTTATGACCTCCAACAACAGTGACATAAGCCAGGCAACCAAAGACACGCAGGCTCATGTAATAAAGAGGGACATGGTAAAGCATTTCATAGGGTGATTTGTGGTTAAGAAGAGGTGTTGGAGTTCGATTAATGAGATAGGCTGCGTGCAGGACAAAGTCACTCACCCCAAAAGGAAAGGGGAAGTCCTGACTGGAATTTGAGTGAACGAGCCACGTTGAGCAAATGCTGATGTTTGCGCTCAACGCGGCCATTTTGTTGGGCTGTGTAAACGCAGCTCATCTCATGAGTGATGCCATGACTGCGATAAAAGTCAGCCATGTGGAATTCTTGACCCTGATTAGTGCGAATGGTTTTGATAGATTGGAAAAATTGGTTTTTAACCATTATACAGAAGGATTGTAAAAGAGGGTTGGCTTCAGATTTCGATTTCATTAAAAAGACCCAAACAGCTCTAGTGTGATCGTCAACAATGGTAAGGAAATAGGAGTATCCTTCCCTGGACATGGTATTCAAGGGTCCCCAGATATCAACGTGAAGTACAGAAAAAGCATCTGAGCTGACAGAAGTGCTGTTGGGAAATGGAAGCCGTTATTGTTTGGACAAGTGACAAGTCTCACAATGTTTGGAAGAAGGAAGAACAACATCATTACAAACATGTTTAATAATTTGCATCCTAGACAAAGTGGGATGGCCTAGTCTGGCATGCCAAATATCAGAAGTAGAAGGCTTGGAACTGGAAACTCCTGCTGCAAAGCTGGAAGAAGGAACTGGAGGATGAAATTCTTGGAGCTTGGAATCAGAAAAGAGGTAGAGGCCTTTATCAACTTGGGCTAAACCAATCTTCCCCCGAGTAATAAGGTCCTGAATGGTACAAAAATTGGATTGGAAGACTAGTGAGACAGGGTGATTTTTGGTTAATTTACTTACAGAAACAAGATTGTAAGTAAAGGATGGAATGAAGAGGACTTGGGTAAGGAACAATCCACAAGGTAACCTGACTATGCCTATATGAGTGGCTTTCACATGGTGTCTATTAGGTAGAGACACATTGACACCTTCCATAGGTTTATACTTGATGAAGGTAGACAGGTTACAGATTATGTGGTCTGTAGCACCTGTATATAAAACCCAGACTGTTTCATTCAAGGTTGGAGACAAGGAAGTAGTACCTGAGGTGCTAGCTGCAAAATGAGGTGATTGTGGTGGTGCCATGATCACTGCATTGACATTAGGCAGATTGGGTGAGCTGGGAGGTGAAGGTGATGGAGAAGGAGACCCATTCAGAGTCATTGCTGCTTATTACATATGATGCGAAAGCACAACAGCGATCACAAGGCATGAAAAAGTAAGTTCTGTGTTGCCATGAAAAATTAACATTATTTTATGCATGTAGAATCCCACATTTGATTCTCTAAGGAGCGAGGATTGTGAATGTGATGAAAATTTCAAGTTCAATAACAGGATATACTAATATAAGTGGTAAACTTTTCCGGAGATGTGGTTATGATGGAATGAGGACATTGTTGAACAAGCCTTAAATGCTTAACTGCTAGGCGAATGAAAAACACAATCTAATTTTTAGAAAAGCAAGTACAAAAGGTTGGACTTAGTTGATAGAACCCGGAGAAAAAGGTTCTATCTAGGGATTGGGATTGGTGAGGGATCAACTAGGGATTAATCCTGAGTGAACAAAAAATGAAGGAGAAAGGAGAATTGGGTTGGTCGAAAAGAAGAAGGAGAGGGGGAAGGCTGGCCGCACAGCGGCCTTGGAGGAAGAGGAAGAAGATTTCGGCAGAGGGAAGGGAGAGAGAATTGGCAATTAGGTTTAGGT